TTGAATCATTTCAAATCCATTGTGATGAAAGAAACACACGAGAATTGTATCAGCAGACGGTAGTTGCTTTGAGTCAAGGTCAGAGGTTCCTGAGAATAAGAGATGTTCTTTTACACATACTAAAGATCCACACTGGAAACTCAGTCATCTGAGAGCTTTGTTAAAACTATTGGACATGTGTGAAAGAACAAGCCTGAATTACTCCCAAAACAACTGGAGCGACTAAATGAGAAAAGGAAACCACGGGTAAATGCTCTTTAATGTCAGTTTTGCATAATGTCTCTTTTCCACATGGTTTTCATTTCAATTACTGTATGTAATAGTTTTTTTGTTTTTTCTCGTTTTGTTTGAAATATTATACTTAACTTTAACTTACTTAAAAGGTATATAGGAGGATTTTCACAATTTTTAGGAAAGATTTGAACTATTTAACGAGCAGCTATCACCAGAATGATTAACAATTACAAAACAATTTATAATCATATTTTATAAAAGTCACAGCAGAACAATTCTTGCGGAAGTAAAATATTGTGAAGAAATGCTGTAATTAAATGCTTATTAGAAAATATTATTGTTTGTGTACTTGTAAGAAAGAGCTATGAGTCACTATTTGACTGAGTGAGGGTCATCTCTTTTCACTTTCCTGTCTGGAAAAGCTCATCAAAAGTCAGAAATAAATGGTTTTAAAACCAGGATCTGATTTTGTGGTTTGAAAATTGTGGTCCGAGCTGCATTTACTATGGAGGTATGAACACAATGACGGTATCGATTCTTGGTGCTGATAATGGAATGTTGGATAGGATGGACTGTCACAATGATTAGATCCTTCAGTTGGTTCAATTAAAACTATTTATTGGCTGATATTATGATGATAATATTAATGCGCTCTTTTGGACACTCAAAGACGCTTCACATGTCATTATTCTATCACTCCTTACACACTGGTGTTAAACAACTACTGTAGCCACAGCTGCCCTGGGGCACACTGACAGAAGGCCACCAGTATGTGCCATCGGCCCCTTCCACCACCACCAACCATTCTAGGCAAAGAGGGTGAAGTGTCTTGCCTAAGGATGGTTTCTGGCTTTTACATGAAAGTAAGGCTACAGAGTTGTTCTGTAGGTACTTGCACAATAATTGTTTTGTGATTACACTTTGTAACAATTTGGCTGAATAGTTTTTTTTTGTCATTTTCTTCTTTGGTATTGGTTCAAATCAAGAATCGGCAGATATTGAAAGCCAAAGAATCAAGATCAGTATTGTACATTAAAAAAGTTGGATTGGGGCATCCATATTCAACACAGCCCCTTCAATTCCCCCCACATTAGGGCTGGGATAAACGATTATTTTTTAAACGATTAATCTAGCGATTATTTTTTCGATGCATCGATTAATCTAACGATTATTTTTTTCGCTTCGATTCGATTTTGAGTTGATTCGATTCTCGATTATCTCCCCATTAATTGACTAATATTGATGTATACATGTTGATTTAAATATTTTAATGAAAAAAACATGAATTCCTTCACAAAAAATATGTATTGCTTTCTCTTAAAATTCAAAAATAAGACATTCTTAGAGGTAGCATAAAACCTTAAAGCCTTGAAAACACAGCTTACTGAAAAAAATGCATCTTATCATTCTTGAAACAAACATTTGATGCTTAGCATTCAATAAAAATATGAAAAAGTTCAGCCAAATACTTGTGTAGAGCAACTAAAAGAAAACAGTAACCAATGTAAACTTGAAGGCTTTAAGCTAAACAAAGAGTGCTTTTCCAGCAAAAACAGTGGGAGCCATCAGCCTGTCATGGCGTCCTTCCTGAACCAACAGAGTTTAACATTTAAGTTGAAGACACATAGGCCTATATTACTGAAGTCCATTAATTAAAGTGCATCTCTTAAATTCTTCATTCATATAAAAATAACAGTCAAAACTCTGCCACACACCTTTTTCTTAAACTCAAAATTCAAAAATAAAATTCAAGTAAGAGTGTACAAGAGAAAAACAATGCATTGTGTAGCAAATAAAAAGGTCAACCAGTCATCCTTTCTTTTAGAGTTACTGAAAGAATACAGTAACTATTGTAAACTTGGGGGCTTTTAGCTAATATAGAAAGTGCTTTTCCAACAAAAAATAAATAACAAAAGTAAACATTTAGAATTCAACATTTATGTGGAACATCATCCTTCAAAAAATTAACTACAACTTAGACCTGGTCACTTTCCTTTCCCCTTTAGAATAGTGTGTGTCTGTCATTGAGGGAAAAAATACAGTCAAAAATTGAAATGGAGGAATGTGAGCATTTCGACATGCTCTGGAGTCAGGCTTGCCCTTTTTTTAGAAACAATGTTCCCGGCAACTGAGAAAAGCCTTTCAGATGGCGTGGATGTGGCTGGTATGGACAAATAGGATTTGGCTAGGGCAGGAAACCTTATGGCGTTACTCTTCCATCATAAAAGGGGGTTGCTATCCCTTGGGATAGGGTTTTCCCCAAAGTACATAAGCACCTCTTTCCTGACTGTCTCACTGTCCCCGGCCCTGTCACCATTTATTTATTTTTATTTATACTTTATTAAGGACTCACATGCAAGCACAGGATCCATAGCTCCTTTCTCCTGGTCCCTGTTTTCTTCATTGCAGTCTTCCCCCTCTGAATCTGTGCCCAACAAAGTGTCCAACAAAGAACACCTCTTCTTTGGTGGGGAGTTTGCTGAGGCTTCCTGCCCCACAGCTGGCTGTAACAATCTCTTCTTCCTTTCGATTTCAAGAGCAACAGTCTGGATTTGTACTTGTAGTTTGAGTCCATCATCCGCTGAAAGGAACTTCAATTTCCGAAAACGGGGATCAAGAGCAGCAGCAATGAGAGACACATTTGTCCCATCCTCTTGAAATACAAATACGTCCTCCTGCCACCTTGACATCATGCCCTCTTCTGCTTTGATCTGGAAAAAGATCATGGCAGGAGAATCAAATGATTTATTTCGGGTGGATTTCAGGAGACCCTTCAGCAGGGGGGGGAGAACAGAGGCTGTGACATAAGATTGACCACTAAGGAAAACTGTGGCTTGCTCATAGGGCTTGAGCATCTCTTCCAATTCCTCCAGAAGAATCCATTGATCGCTTTTCAGATCAAGATAGTGCTTTCCACGCTGTGTGATTTCTGGATCTGATAGCGTCGCAACCACTGGCCATCGCTGCTCTAAAAGACGTTCAATCATGTAGTATGTGCTATTCCAACGAACAGCTACATCCTGCATCAGTTTATGTTCAACTGTGCCCATCTGACTTTGTTTTAGCTTCAGTTTAGTGGTAGCCGGCTCACTTTTCTTGATGTGTTTTACAAGGCACCGTGTGGCTGAGAGTGCCTTGCTAATCACAGGGTGGTCCATTGCATGGTTGACTACCAGTTGTAGTGTATGCCCAGCACACCGATGGGATACGACCCCAAATCTCTCTTTCAAAATTCGGAGAGCTGCCACAATGTTGCGTGCATTGTCATGGACAACAGCGAGAACATTATCAAACGAAATGTCAAATTCTTCTGCCACAGTCTCTAGCCAGGAGGCAATGTTTTCCGCTGTGTGGCGTTCTTCAACAGGCAGGGTTGTCAAATTGAATGAGACGAGATCCCAATTGTCATCAATAAAATGACAAGTGACCCCTAAGTAGGCTTCTGTGACCATACTTGTCCAGGCATCAGTGCTTAGGGAGATTTTGGACGTGGCCATTTGAAGTTTGAGTTTAAGTTTCTCCACTGAAGTTTTGTACTTGTTCTCGATAATAGTGGTGAAATGGCGCCTACAGGGCAGAGTGTAACCTGATTGAAAGGGGGCCAACATTTCTTCGAATCCCTCGCCCTCAACCACAGCAATCGGCCTCATGTCTTTAACAATCATTGATACGACGCTCTCAGTAAGTATGGCAGCCTCCTGGGGAGTGCAGGGGGTTGCATTTTTCTTGCGAAAGTAATTTCCCACACTATTCTTCTTATCCCTGAAAACAAAACACACGTTATATAATTATAATAATACACTAACAAAGAAATACAATATATGATTTTATTATGTATCAACCTCAGCCTATTCCCATTGATTGAATATCACCAAGTATGCAAATCAAATCTAATGTGTGTGTAACATAAACGTCACTTGTGCAATACAATATAATTTATTCTTGTGTAGTCCTAAATAACAACAGAAGTCATCTCAGAGGACTTAAAACAACATTGAAGTCACCAACACAGATCAGAGAATCAATCAACAGTTAAACACATTAAGGATATTGAACACATGTTGAAAAATGTCCATAAATGGCGGGCATGACAGTGAATAATACATGTAGGGGCTATTACGGGCGCCAATATTCCGTTTGAAACCGTAATAGTCCTGGCATGTAACTGCTTAATACTGACCCATCGACAGCAATGAAGACATAACGTTACAACCGTTTGTTGACTTAGGTTGCTTAAACGTGTCATTTCACATTGTGAATACATGAATTAATTACACAGAAAACATACACTGTACGTTAGGTAACTCTGCACTCGATGTCGGAGTAGGCTATAATACGTTGTAAAGTGGGGAGTTGAAAAAAAACTTACGGTGCTCTCGTCTCATCTGCTGCAGCAGCTCCCGGGTGGCGTCTCTTCAAATGCTGGTGCATTGCCGTAGTGCTGGAGTGAAAAGCCATCTCCATTTTGCATAAACGACAAACTACTGCATTGTTCCCTTTCAAACTGAAGACTTCCCAAACTTTGGATGAACGAGCGCGTGCCGGCTTGCACTTCTCTAACACGGCACTCGCATTGCTACCGCTCGCCGCCATCTTTGTTTTGTGTGTGACGCACCGACGCGCATATTATACGTCGGTGTATTTTTTGCGTCGACGTCACCGATTACGTCGACGCGTTGTCCCAGCCCTACCCCACATCCCTTCTCATTTAGAAACCACCACTATAGACAACCATTGACCCACTGTACGTGTGCTGAGTCTCTGACCTGGCATGGCATGGACCAGGTCTCCGCACAGCACCATGAACCGGGGCCGGGGCTGCAGTCTGTTGAGGGCCTCCACAGCCTGTTTGGTGAGCTCCACTTCTTCCGCCCATTCATCGCCCCCTCCGTCGCAGTCTCCCTCTCTCCACGCCTTCATCAACCCCAGCTGAGGATCTGCCGCTTGGACAAAACAGAAGGGGCCGCTCCACTGTCCCTCCGCCTCTGAAAACACACCCCATGATTGACACACTGGATTTACACTGAACCGGAAAACTGTCCTAGTTCTATTTCAATTTACTAAAACACAGGTGTCTCCTTCTTGTGCCTAAATGATTAACGTGGGTTGGTTCTGGGTTGGTTTGAGTGATGGTGCGCTACTCACACCAACCCCGCTGCCAAACCTGGTGGTGGCAGCATCATGTTTTGGGACTGGTTTTGTTCAGCAGAAACAAGCAGGTGTTGAGGGAAGGTGAAAGGAGAAACATGTAGGGCCATAGTGGTTTATGGTCAGGATTTTGACCTGACAAGGTTTAAAGTCTTGGCTCAAAACAGTTCTATTCTTCAGTGTTATAAATGTTTTATTTTATTTATTGCCAATGCAGGAGGGTCTAAGGACAGTGGTGATTATCCAGGACACTAGACATTAAAAAACATTTATGGATATTGGTCATCTGTCCCTTATGTACCAACAATTCTATGTGTTTTGAACTGTTTGATTCTCTGATCTGTGTTGGAAAATCCAACTGTTGTGTAAATTGTATGGACATTTATAAACTTGTGTTCAATATTCTTTTTGATTCTTAACTGTTGATTCTCTGATCTGTGTTAGTGATTTCAATGGTGTTGGTCCTCCTACTATTGTGATTTAGGGCTATAAAATAATAATACAAATTGTTAATAATAAATTAAATTGAAATACATTTTTGATATTTCAATCAAGTGCCTTTTAATTGGGTTTTGTGAATGTGAAGCACTTTTAGTTGCATTGTGTATATGAACAGAGGTGATGGGAAGGGAGGAGACCCAGAGGAAGACCCTGGACACATTGGAGGGACTAGGTCTCTCAGCTGGCTTGGATACTCCTCAGGTGTGGAGAGGGAAGACTGGACCTCTCTGATTAGACTGCTGCCCCCACGACACGGTAATGAGACCTAAACTTTGACCTCAGAAAAGATTGTTTATAGGACTGGCTCAGTTTGTCCGATCTCCGCAGGTTATTCGGCCAGAACAAAGGAACGATACACCACTCTTTATGAGGAGTTTGAATAGGACATTTACGTTTTCAATCTGGCATCTGATTTAATACAAAACATATGTGTTATACAGTAAAAGGCCCGGTCATAAAGTCCTAACCTATCAAATTGAAAATTCAGTAAAAACAGGCAGTTCTGCATTGATTGTAAATTTCTCCATTGTGAGATCAATAAAAGTTTATTGTATCTTAACTTCAGTTAAGTTTTAAAAGCCACATTTTTGAGTTTTGAATAAAAAAAAAAAAAAATCTTGCATCATTTTATCTCACTTGTCTCCACTTTGTGTTGAGCTATCACAAATAAATCCAATAGAATATCTCTTAAGTGTGCAGGCAAAAAGTGACAATTTGAGGAAAAGTTTCTGAGGTATGAATACTTTTCCATGGCACTGTAATACATGCAAACTTTACAGCTCCAGCGTCTCTACTCCTGAATGTATTGCAAGTGTGTTGGCAATCTCTGCTGACTGTGAATGCCCTGTAGATTTATCTTCTGAGCAAACTTTAATATCCAGTCGTTGTGCGTACAGTGCAGTACAAAGCCATAAAAGTTATAGAGATTAGGTGTCATCTCCAGCCATTAGTCATTCGCTGGGAACACACTTTGATCTGAAAGCCACTCTTGAAAAACCGGACGACCCAGTGGAAGGCGTAGTGAGACCCCGGTTACACGTGGGTATTGAAGTGGACTCAGAGGAGAATAGAATGTGCCGTCTTTTATTGAATGTGTGAGCAATCATCGCTCAATAATTAACAAACAAAAACTTGTAAAGCCGGGACGAGGGCTTTATGTAAGGCCGAAAGCGCATGTGAGAAGAGCACCATTGAAACTCAAACATTTATTACAAGGCTGAATGTGTGCAGCAAAGGAGGACACTAAAAGAACATGAAAATACACTATCATCAGTCTGTAAGAACACAAGGTCAGTCATCTTTATCATAGCGGTGCTAGGGGACAGTACATAAAAATATTATTGTGCAAAACTTATACAAAGTCTGAACAAATGTTACTTCTGCTAAGACATTATATTTTATATTTCCATTTCAAGCAGGGGTATCTCATTTTCAAACCTTATGTCACGGGTTCTTGGTTTTAAAACAGTTTGGTTCCCTTTTTACATTTTTAAGATCAGCTTTGTCAGACAAAAAAGTAACAAAGAAAGAACCGCCCTCACTCAGCTCTCAGCCCATCCATCCATCCATTTTCTTCCGCTTCATCCGTTGCCGCGTAGCGGAGGCAGCAGTCTCAGCAGAGACGCCCAGACTTCCCTATCCACACACACCGCCTCCAGCTCGTCCGGGGGGACCCCAAGACGTTTCCAGGCCAGCTGAGAGACATAGTCCCTCCAGCGTGTCCTGGGTCTTTCCCAGTGGGACGTGCCCGGAACACCTCCCCAGGGAGGCGTCCAAGAGGCATCCGGAACAGATGCCCGAGCCACCTCAACTGGTTCCTCTCAACGTGGAGAAGCAGCGGCTCTACTCCGAGCTCCTCCCGTGTGACTGAGCTCCTCACCCTATCTCTAAGGGAGCACCCAGCCACTCTGCGGAGGAAGCTCATTTCGACCGCTTGTATCCGCGATCTCGTTCTTTCGGTCATTACCCAAAGCTCATGACCATAGGTGAGGGAGGGAACGAAGATTGACCGGTAAATCGAGAGCTTTGCTTTTCGGCTTAGCTCTCTCTTTACCAAGACGGTCCGATACAGCGACCGTATCACTGCGCACGTTGCACCGATCCACCTGTCAATCTCAAGCTCCATCCTTCCCTCACTCGTGAACAAGACCCCGAGATACTTGAAAGGGGCGTTCACACCGGACTTAACTTCGGCGTCAAAAGCGTCAGGTTTGCATTGAAAGTGAATGGTGAAGCGCGTCAGGTGAAGCCAAGGGGCCCGGCGTCACTTGGCGCGCGTCAAAAGCTTCAAAAGTCGCGCTCACTTGAAGCTTTTGACGCGCGAAACGCTCGCGTATCACAACAATCCCTTTGACGCCGAAGCTGAGCAAAGCTGAGCTTTTGAAGCTTTGACACGGGCTTCAACCAATCAGGAGACGAGGAGCAGCAGCAGGTCTATCTCTGTCATGGAGAGAAGTCATGTATCTGATGCTGCTGTTTTATTATTGTCATTATTGTTATTAGTAATATTATTTGTATGAGTAGTAACGTTCGGAGTAACAAAAATCCTTGTACACATGCTGTGTAGTAAACGTAGTTTATTTAATATAAGAACAGGCTGACGATGAGTCTGGCTCAGAGCAAGGCAGCTCCGGGCGGGCGAGAGCCGGGGAGAGGCAGGGAGAGGCGAGCGAGAGCCGGGGAGAGGCGAGCGAGAGCCGGGGAGAGGCGAGCGAGAGGCGGGGAGGGGCATGGAGAGGCGAGCGAGAGCCGGGGAGAGGCGAGCGAGAGCCGGGGAGAGGCGAGCGAGAGCCGGGGAGAGGCAGGGAGAGGCGAGAGCGAGGCGGGGAGAGGCGAGCTCCGGGGTTTGAGAACTCAGACTGGGCGAGTGACATGCGGAAGTGCCGCTGAAAGCGAGACTCCTCCGTACGCAGCTCCGGGAGTAAATGACAGAACTCTGCAAACACTGCAGCCTCTCAAGTCTGTGGTGAACCCAGAACATGTTTTGTTGAAGCCGTACAACAACGTTATTTTGCTTTATATAACAAATAAAGGCTCGCTGCTCATTGAAAAATCCACCGCTGTCCTGACTACAGACAACAGAGAAGCTCCTCCCACCGGCGTCAGGCGCGTCACTCGCATCAAAAGCTTCAAGCACCAAAAGGACAAAACTATCCCGGCGTCAGTTGAAGCGCGTCATAAGCTTTTTGAAGCTTTTGGTCTGAACGCGCCTGAACTCCTCCACTTGAGGAAGGACCTCTCCACCCACCTGGAGCGGGCAAGGCACCTTTTTCCGGTCGAGCACCATGGCCTCGAATTTGGAGGTGCTGATTCTCATCCCAGCTGCTTCACACTAGGCTGCAAACCGTCCCAGTGCATGTTGCAGGTGCTGGTTTGTCGGAGCCAACAGGACATCATCCGCAAAAAGCAGGGATGAAATCCTGTGGTCCCCGAACCGGACCCCCTTCCGGCCCCTGGCTGCGCCTAGAAATTCTGTCCATAAACACAGTGAACAGAACCGGTGACAAAGGGCAACCTTGGCGGAGGCCAACATGCACCGGGAACTGCCGGTGATGCGAACGTAGCTCTTGCTCCGGTCATACAGGGACCGGACGGCCCTTGGCAGAGGACCCCGACCCCATACACCAGGAGAACCCCCCCAAAGGACACCCCGGGGAACACGGTCGATTGCCTTCTCCAAATCCACAAAGCACATGTGGGCAGGTTGGCCGAACTCCCATGAACCCTAGAGTATCCGATGGAGAGTATAGAGTATAGATCTCATGAGATCCGTCCTGACTATCTAAAGCTCTCAGCCCAAAGCGTCAAATAGTCTGAAACTGAGCTTGTTCTTATGTTTCTGTTTGTCACATTTTATTTCTCATTTTAAGTCTCCTTCCGCATGAATTGATTGAGTATACTAAATTATTTATTGCATTTGAACATGAAATGTTCCTTAAGATTGGCAATTAGACCCCAGCAGGAATACTGCATGACGTATGCAGAAGGAGTTTAATAGAAATGAGCTAGCAAACTAGACCCTGGTGTCGATGAAAGCTGAGCCGAAGACATGCACTTAAGTGGTTAGAGTTTTTGTCTAAGAGTCCAATCCAAACGCACAGCTAACGGCACCAGACCGTATTTGATGTCACTCAAATCTCCTGCACGGCTCTGAAGGCTTTTAAAGAACATGTGAATTTTTTTGACCAGTTTTTCCTTCATGTGTGAGTGACAAATGAGAGCAAGACGCCGTGAGCCTGTGTTAGAAGAGGGAATTTAGCGATTGGAGGCTTTCCTGGTTTCAGGCTGCTGTCCCCACGTGCTCCACCACTCACTCCGTTCCCAAAGGTGTTTATGT